CCCCCCCTCCCGCAGCAAGTCCAAAATCGAGAGGCCGAATTAGCAAACTCGGCAAGTGGACTTTGAGGCCTCTTTGATGATCGTACATGACGAAAGCACTGTAAATACCGAGTAAAATGGATGTTGTCTTAACATGGCTAAGAGCAAGTGTAGTTGGTAGGGGGGGCGCCTACTACTACTACTACTACTACTACTACTACTACTACTACTACTACGTATACTACGTACTACTACTACTACTACTTCTACTTCTACTTCTACTTCTACTTCTACTTCTACTTCTACTTCTACTACTACTACTACTACTACTACTACTACTACTACTGTTACTATATGCTCCTACGTCTTCTCCTTCCGCTACTTCTACGTCTACTACTAGCTGAAGCTCCAGTCCTGGAGAAGGTCGCTGAAGACCGTGGGGTCGTTCTCATCCTTGGCCCGGTCTTCGAAACCAAAAGCCGGTTTGGCGCCGGAGGCTTGGGGTTTCCAGCACTCGGACTTGCCTAGGCGGGGGTTCCTGGTACGTCGAAAGCACTCTGTGGCTCAGCAAGAGCGCGTTAGCCCCGCCAACATTAACTACGGCCACTTCCTTAAGAAGAGGATCCACATCTTTCGGTTCAGGCTTGGGGTTTATGGTTTAGGATTTGAGCGTATGGTGATGGTTTTGGCTTTGGGTTCGGGTTTAGTTGGGGCTGAAGTCGGGTTGGGGTTTTGTGTTTGGGGCTTCGGGATGCTTAGGGTTTATGGTGTTGAAATGGGGCGTAGCGCTTCGGGCCGTGGAGGCTGAAGAAGCTAAGGCCACGGCCCACAATCGTGCCTGGCGAGCAAGCAGAAAAGCTGATGTGAGTGTGCATATGTATTCATGTGCATGCATGCACGCAAATGCGGGCATGCCTCTGCCTGTAAGCACAGTGAAATATCGCGTGCGTGTCATGTGCATGCTTTGTATGACCCACATACTCGTATGTTCAATAATCAATGCCATAGACCCCATATTCCTACAGATGGCTCTTTCGCCGTCCATGTGTTCTGAAACGAGAAGATGCAGGAATCTAGCTGGTCCAGAAGAAACCCCGTCTGTGTCGTACTGGCTAGGTCCTTACACAACCCCAGCACACAAGAACCCTCTAAAACCCTACACGTGGACTTAACACTTTTTGCAGCTGGGCCCTGAGCGTCAGCCAGCGAGTCCGCCCCCGCTCTGAAACCCTGAGCCCCGAAATCCCTTTTTTTGGGGAAGGGACTGCAATGTACTTAACCCACAGAGCCCTAAACCCGAAGACCCTAAAGCCCAGGACCCGAACACTTTAACACCTGACTGTACCTTGATTTTCGGCTCCCGGATTGCCCGAGCCTGAAGAGCTCTGCTTTCTCGCAGTCGGCTTTCTAAGGCGCCGGAGACATCTCCAGCAGCCTCCTCGAATCATTCGGGCTTTAACGGTTTAGGGGGTTTCTTGCCTTCCCCCTCGGGGTAGCGGTTTAGTGGTTTAGGGCTCCGGGCTTCGGCAGTGTAGGGCTTTGGGGCGGAGCGTCGGGCCTGGAACAGTCTCTCCTTGACTACTTTTTCGAGGATTGGAAGTACAAGCATGCGATCGTAGTCGTTTCTTTGTTGTGTTTGTTGCCCGTGGCTGCAACTGGGTTCCTGTTACAGTATGAAGAAAAGAACAAACAAGATGCTGCTTGTTGGCTCTCGTTTATGGGGAACCCCATCCGCCAAAACTGGCTACGGGAAATCCCAACCAGAAAAAGACGAAAAGGATCTCTTGACTTTACCTCGCTTAAGATATGGATAAAGAGCAATCCTCCGAGTAGTGAGAACAAGCGGACTAAAAGTCCGAAAAGTTACATACATATGTCGTATCACCATACTCGAGTCCCTACATAGTCATACCCTAATATGTCCCGAAGACCCTTGTCCAATCATTGATAAGCCCTTACGTTACGAAAACCCCGGTAACCCGGATTGCTTGTCGTCCTGGAGGTTCGCATACTGGCCTGCAAAGTGCATTTAAGCAAGTGAGGTTGAAAGGCGTACAGGTCAAGATGGATACTGGAGGTTTGAAGCGGGGTTCTGAGGATGTCGTAGAAGTTGATGGACCAGACGACCCTGACCGCAGCCACAGCCGCAGCCACAACCACCACCACCCCACCGACGACCCCCCTCTCTGCATGGTGTCAGCATCTGGCTTGCGCTTGCTGCTGCTGGCAAAGGCCCTGACTCATGGCGACCTTCCCCCGGACAATGACCGAAACCATGACGTGACGACTTCTTTACAGTCGTAGTTGTTGTACTTCTAGCCGGAGCAGCCACAGCAGCCGTGGTCCAGACTCAAAAAGGCACCTTCACCCAAAATAGTCCTCTGCGTCAACCTTAACTTAATGTATAGGGGCCTTATAATAATTCGAATAGAGCTTTTTTGGGGTGTTTTGTTCTGTATTTAACCGCCAAAATACTCTTGGTAATTATTATAAGCCCCCTACATTACCTCGAATCCTCGAAGCTTCCGAAGACTGCATTGCTCCGAGGTGCTCCAGAAGTCGTGCCGCGATGCGGTGTGATCCGTGGCGAACTTGTAGAAGTCGAGGAGCTGCCTCATACAGCTCCTGCTAGGATCGTCATAGGATCTTATATGCTATTATGTCATAGACTAGTAAAGGAAGCAGTGGTTCAGTTCAAGGGTTTTGGACTTGTTCTGACTAGTAAAAACCAGCAGGAGTTCAAGCGTTTTGGGCTTGAGGACGAGACCTAAAACCAGATGAAGACCCTCGGCCAGGTACTGATTTCGCCTCGACAGCCCGGCAACGCTATCCCAACGGATGAGAGCGTGCGTGAAAGCGGTAGCACGAGCTATACAGTCTACCCGCCATGTGTGCCAAAGCTATCTGCCAAACGATCTCACTGATGTTGAACTTTGCCAATGCCCTCGTCCTTACTGGCTTTCTGACCTCCTGCTTAGCCGTTGGATGATGCCGAAAAGACCCATTTACAGGGTTGCAGCCGCATCACCACATGCTTAAAGGCCGAGAGTTGCCAAGCGCGTGGAGTCTGATTTGCCGATGCCGTCTGCACGTTCCTCTTGGTTTACCTGTAAAGTTTACCTCACCACACCGGTGAAGATAAACTCTGCTGCCCTGTTGATATCCATCCCTGCATTGTCGAGAGCACGGCGAGCCAGCTCAGGAGTCACTGCACACACAGCTGCGACTGTGCGTACCTTGTGCAGGATCGGATCAAAGCTCGGCTGCAAGCCGTCGTCGCCGCCACCAGCGCGCAGCTGCCCCTCGTATGCCATCAGCTGTTCGAGGAAGCCTTCATTTGGGGAGATGACTGGTCTTCTACTCGCGACGAAGCTTAACGCACGCTCCAGGCCGACAGCACCGCCATCAATCCACGGCTGTGTGCCGCTGAGCTCTGGATCCAGGACTGTGGGGCCACAAAGTCTGGCACCGAAGGTCATCACAAGTGCTGTTACTATGGCTGCACTACGGCTCACGCCGGCAGCGCAATGCACCACCACGGCGTGGCAAGGGCGCTCCAGCTTTGCAAAGGCAGGTTTGCAGTCACCAGCATGTGCAGTGTCGTCAGTGGCCTCTTCTCCTCCTACGTCCTGCGGGAGACACAGCCACTTTGCCACCGCTGCAGTCGCAGTATCGATTGCATCCTGCAGCGCCTGCTCGTCCTCGTCTCGCAGCACCAGATGCAGAAGCTCCGTCTTGGAAGTTGCGCAGTCAAGCTGATCAGTGGCCAATGCAGTTATGTAGTCCGGTCTGTCGGGTGCGGACTCCATGCAGCGGATCACGAGCACGCTGTGGCCCGCGCAGCGCAGCTTTCCGACTGTCTCAGCGACCGATACCTCTGGCCCCAGGTAGAGTGTGTTGGGCACGATAGCCGACGCCATTGCGATGCTATGCCAGGCAGAATAATCATGACATACTGTATACAAATGTATGTGGCCTGGTCGTGAGGAGCCGCCTGGGCTATACCATCATGTACCATCACGTGAATCAGCCTGCCCGCCCCCCCCCAAAAAAAAAAACACACAGAAAACCTTCCGCAAGCTGCAGGAGGATGTATCATTTTACATCCAAGGAAAAGGGTACCTCACCTCTCGGCCGAATCAACCTTGAGCCCCTGCTTTAAGCACATGCACAGTCCTGCCAGTGCGGCCTTCGTAGAGACCGTCTGCGTCGACTATGACGGCCTGCGAATCTCGGGTGAATGGTAAGGGTCGCAAGCTCACAAATTGAAATAAGCAGGGAGCCACAGAGAAAGAGAGGGAGAGAGAGGAACAGATCGGCTGAGTTGCTGTCCGAATACACAATAGCGAAGCAAACGGCTGGAGAAGTAAACCTAAATTTGCTTCTGTGTACATGTATTAAATACATATATTCAATATGTGTATATATGTATATATGTACACATCATGTCGACGAGAAACAAAGGAACATCAGGAGCCACGCCATCATGCATGTATGTATATATGTATGTGCGTATGTATGTATGTATCTGTGTATGTATGTATGCA